CATCCATGGACAACATATAATTTTTAAAATGTTAAAATTACAACTTAATGTTGAATTCAAAGACATTGATTTGTTTTAAAAAATGGGGAAAAGTTAATTTTAAATATTATTTAAATAATGTACATTTAAAGATTTAATATTAACATTTAATTTATGTAATTGAATTAACGTTTCTGGAGGTTACAGAAACTTCCAAACCAAATTTTGATGAAATATTGTATCACTTAGTCAACTTCTGAACACTTAGGTACTATTTGTACTTTTAAATCCAATATATTTTTTAAAACCTCCTTATGAGTACCAAGTACCAACTATATATTTTATGATAATGCAAACTGTTTCCTTTGAAAGGAAACACATTTTTAAGACTATAAAAATTTTTTAATTTTTAAAATTATATAGAAATAAAAGATGCAACCTCATGTGTAATTTTATGTAGTGATACCTTTTGAAAGCCTGGTGCTTTAATTCCTTAAAAAGTTTTATTTATGAGATTTGGGGAAGCATAATTTTTTTCCCAATGTATAATTATTGATGAAATTGTGGGACTCATTAGCATAGAGCTAAGGAAGTAATGCCAGCATACTTCCTTGACTCCACAGGGTTGCCAATAAAAATTGTGCAAAATGGGGACCAGCCTGGTGGCACAGCAGTTAAGTTTGCCGGCTCCACTCCGGCAGCCCAGGGTTCGCCGGTTTGGATCCCCGGCACGGACTGACACACCACTCGTCAAGCCATGCTGAGGTGGCGTCCCACATAAAGTAGAGGAAGATGGGCATGGATGTTAGCCCAGGGCCAGTCTTCCTCAGCAAAAAGAGAAGGATTGGCAATGTATGTTAGCTCAGGGCTACTCTTCCTCGCAAAAAAACACACAAAAATGTGGAAAATGGTCTTGCAACATTCAGTATTACTGAAAAATCTGAACGTAATGAGTGACAAATATTCTATGCCACAAGTTATATGGAAGATATCTATAATCATTTTATTTAAAAAATGTAACTTTTGAACAGGGCAATCATTCAGTACAGGATTAATGTTACAATGTTTCCTAGAAAGAGGGACATAAGGAAGGGATAGAGGTGTGTTCAGGTTAACATTGTCACTAATTTCACTTAAGAAAAAAATGTTTAGAAACACGGAATATTTGTAATTTTGCATAAATGTAGTTGAAATAATATAGGCTATAGAACCACATAGAATCTTGGTTTGAATCTCAGATTACTTGTTATCTTTTTGACTTTGACAAGTTACTTAACCTCTGAGCCTTAGTTTAGTCACCTGAAGATGGAGAACACTTTCTCAGAGCATTGCTATTTATCCTACATGATAAACAAATATATATAAGCACCAAGTACATATAACAACTTTTTCTTCTCCTAATAATTATCACTGTATTAGGAGATAATGACTACAACTTATTTTCCCAATACATCTACTAGATATATCCAGAATTGCTGGCAAACACCTATTCCTTCCATTATGCAAGGTCTCACGATAAAGTGACATCACCTAATCAGAAAGATTACGGTATTATGATTCATAAGTGGAAATCAACAGTCATGGGGGGAGTACAAAAAAGTGATTTGATTCAGGTACATAAGCAGTGGCTAAAAACCTGAGCACTCTCCAATGATGTCAGAACCCAAAGGTTCTTCAGAAAAAAAAAAAAAGGAAAAAAGCTGTAAATTGTCTGAAATAATAGAATATGCAAGTGGCAGAGGGACGATTGATTGTGAGCACAGCCCTGGAACAGTAGTATGGAATATAGAGGAGTTATCAGTCAGCAACTCACATGTTATTCTTATGCATACTAACTATAAAGTGCAGAAGGGGTTCTGGGATCAGATGACTACATAGGTTCAAAACCTGGGCCTAACCCTTTTTGGCTGTATGCCAAATTACTTAACCTCAGTTTCTCACCTGTAAATGTGGATAATGATAGTTATCATTACACAGAGCCATAATGAACATTCAAATGAGCTTATCACATAAAGGCCTTAGTTTAGAGCAGTGCCTGGATACACTAGGCATTCAGTACAAGTGTTCCTTGCCTTTCAGGACACGCTTTCTCGGTTCTCCTACTTCTCTGGTCACTCCTTAGTCTCCTAAGCTGCACACGCGCAGGGCACAACTCCAGGAGTCCTAGCAGGGAACAGCTGCCAAGGGGCTGAGAGGCAGGCAGAGACTTCAGAGGTCACACAGTGCTGGGGTATGGGCTTACTCAGAGCAGAGATACCTTAGTGAACATCCCTGGCAGTAAGTTAAGACCCCAGAAAATAGGACTCTCCAACTAATCACTCCCTTCCTCCTTGGTGTTCTTGAACACACCAGGCACGATCTTGCTTCAAAGGCCTTTCAGTGGCTTTTTGTCTCTGCCTGGAACATTAGTCCCCAACATGTCCCCCTGGACACCTTATTTAAAAATCATAGCCCTCTTCCCACCCACTCGTGCACCCTCATCCCCACGCCATCCATCACCATACCACCTTATTTTTTCCCATAGCACTTTTTATCTTCCAACATATAATTATTATGTCTATTGCTTATGGTCTGTCTCTACCCACTAAAAGGTTATCACTAAAAGGAGAGGAATCCCTGTTTCGTTCATTGTTGTACCCCAAGTATCTTGAACAGTGCCTTGCCCACATAGGTGCCCAACGATTATTTGTTGAATAAACGAATGTCAGCTATTACTATATTATTACCATTACTATTCCAAGCCTTTTTAGTCACCAATAACTTGTTCATGCCATGTCCTCCATCTAATACAGTTTTCTCTATTTACCTTCAGAAATGCTTTTGACATGTGACAAAGTGGCACCATAATGCAGCAGTTAAAATCAGACTCTGGAACCAGATAACATGGATCTGCAAGTAACAGGATTCCATATATATACATTCTGCATTCCACATACATTTGGAATATATATATACTTCTTCTTTTGCAAAATGTAGGCAAACAACCAAATTGATGTCTTCATTACTAACTAGTAATTACTAATTACTTCAATACAAATTCATTTATATATATAATAATATAGCAGCAATAATAATATCAATTGTGTAGTGCTCTTATAGGTTTAAAGCATCTTACACATTAATGCATTTAATCCTTCTATTAACCTCATGGAAACCAAGGCACAGAAAGATTAACTAATTTGTACCAAGTCATACAGCTAGTAAATGACAAAGCCAGGATTTAGATCCATGTTAAGTTGCAATAAAAAAATAATTTTTAGATTAGAAAGGATAATTCCTAAAGAAATATAAATGAACTAAATGTAACAATTAAATTTAAGTCTGCTTAAAAAACAAAACAAAACAACCTGTCTTAGCACTAAAGGATGAAACGCAGATATTAGTATATGTCACTAGGTGATGCTCTTTGTTAAATCTCTCTCCTGGTAAGGTTATCTAAGGAGTTATAACTCATTCAAATAGGAAAGAATTTATGGTAGGCCTAATAATAATTTTGTTGGCTCTTTGACCACAAAAGTTATATAGTCTAGAAAATAAATTCATATGCAAAAAAGGAAAACCACATAAATTTACGGGAGAGAAACTTTCTGTAAGACCGTGAGCTTAGAATATTGAGACTTCCACATCATGAACATAGTATCACTTCTCATTTATTTTTATCTTTCTCTATTTATGTCTCCAATTTGGATCTTGGTAAGATTTTATATTTTGTGGACAGAGTTCTTGAGTATTTTTAAAATTTATTCCTAGATAACATATTTTTTGTGCCACTAAAATGTTATCTGTGCCTTTACTTTTTTATGCTGAAATATTTTAAAGTAAATTAACATTACACCCTTAAATATTTCAGTATGCATTTCTTAAATAACATTATTACACTTCACCAAAACTATTCATTAATATCATCTATTACCCAAAAACCAAAAAGTCAATAAACATTAAATGGGGCTCAAGCTTATTAGTAATTAGGAAAATACAAATTAATAAGAAAAAGATATATGTTGCACACATATCAAACTGACAGAAATTAAAAAGTCTGATATGAACTATTGGAAAGGATGCAGAGCACTGGATCTCTCACACATTGCTGTGGGACAATCCTTCTGGAAAGACAGTTTGGCATTACAGAGCAATACTGAAGATGCACATACTTGATCTCCTCTACCACTGCTAGATATACATCTAACAGAAATGTGTACCAAAAAACAACACATATGTACCAAGAAACAGATATACCAGTGTTCATAGCAGTATTGTTTTTAACAGGAAAAATCTGAGATAACTCAACTGTCCCTCAACATTAGAGAGGATAGATAAATTGTGGTATGTGAATACAATGGAATAAAACACAGTAATGTAAAATGAACAAATTAGAGCTCTTGCAACAACCTGATGAAATAAAGAAGAGATACAAAATAACATGCATAGTATGAGTCTGTTCATATAAATTTCAAAACCAATGCCTGCCACTTATTTTCACATGGTTCAGCAAATAAAATATATATCCATATCCATCTATTGAGATATAAAGAAAATGTGACAAAATGTTAACAATTGCCAATTTAGGTGAAGAGTCTACAAAGGTTCATTGTACTATTTAGTATTTTTCTTTAGGTTTGAGATTTTTCAAAACAAAAAGAGAAAAAAAGAGTTTAAAAATAAGACAAAGCTAATGTATATTGTTTAGGAATAGTTTCTTCATCTAGGTGATAGATGTATGACTTTTCTTTATAATTATTTATTAAACTATACATATATATTTTATGCATTTTTTCTGTATGTATATTTCACAAGAAAAAAAGGTAAAAAATGTCATAAGGTATAAAAAAATACTCTCAAAGAAAAATTGATACACATTTGTTAAATATTATAAAAAAATCAACTTTTCCCTTTAAAACAAGCAAACATAATTAAGGGGGCTTTTGTTATGTGGGCCATTTACTTGAGATCAATCTATCACAAGGTACTTACTGAGGACCAGTTTTTGAGGTTGGTAATATAATTATGTCATCTGATATCTCCATGAGATAGTTCTTTCACAACCATCAATTTTGTATCTTGCTTAGTTTGATATAGGTAGTATATCTGAATTCTAAATAATTCCCATGAACTGCAATATGATAACCCAACACCAATTTTGCAGATATCCTAGCATATGCTACTTAAAAATTTATTATAAGAAAACTCTGGATAAAGTATTATAATTATTCAAATATCACGCACAATTTATATTGTCCATGTATAAATTTTGCCTATTGTTTTTTATTGTTGGTGATGTGTATTTTTTTTATTGTGGTAACACTGGTTTATAACATTGTATAAATTTAAGGCGTACATCGTTATACTTCTATTTCTGCATAGATTATATCATGTGCACCACCCAAAGACTAATTACAATCACCACACACATGTGCCTAATCACCCCTTTCACCTTCCTCCCTCCCTCCTTCCCCTCTGGTAACCACCAACCCAAGCTCTGTCTCTATGTGTTTGTTTGTTGCTGTTTTTATCTTCTGTCTATGAGTGAGATCATACAGTATTTGACCTTCTCCCTCTGACTTATTTCGCTAGCATAATACCCTCAATGTCCATCCATAAATTTTGCCTATTTTCTACAGGTTTTTATGATTTCCTCATTAGGATTTCACAATATTTTTTTGTAAAACCCTCAAAGTCAAAAGCTGTTCAGAATTTCATGTTTTCAAACTGACTTTTAATAAGGTTATATTAATCCACTTGATTGTCATCTAAATCAATATCGAAATCCAAATCACTATCACTTTCTTCTTCATTTCTTCTGCAGCTTCTTTGATGGTTAGAATGTAGATTATTTTCAAAATTTTCTGGTTCTTTATTAAACCTAAAGATGGAAGAAAAAACTTCTCTTTATTTCTCAGGCTTTCATTATTTAACTGTGTAGATTGAAAAGACCTTTACACTACATTTCTTGATTAACAGGAGCCTAATGAAATAAGTACAGAGAAAAAGATCCCCGAAGACTAACTTAACTCAAGATCTAAACAATTATAATACTGTCGTCAATAAAGTAGGCTCAAAGACATTAATACATGATGTCCACTAAAGAAAAGTAGTTATATAATGAGTAATTCTTTTGTAACGAGTAATGAATGTGAAACTCAGATAAATATTTTAATTTCCTAAAAATATAAAGTTTCACTTTTATTGTAATAATAGAAAAATTTTACAAATAATTAAGACATTTTTCCTGTCAGGTAGAAAAAAATGTCTACATTAGTGTGATATACTGCAATTCTGAGATTCTCAGAACTGCTGAATGTTTTCCTTAAAAGAAAATTCATGTATCAATTACTAAAAGAGTAAAACCCAAACATAAAAAGAAATACTCACGGAATAACAATGTCTTCTTTCTTTCCACATTTTGCACAAACTTCAAGTTCACAGGCACATGGTCTACACATTATATGATAAGAATCCTTCACTGTCTTTTGTAAACATTTAACACTAAAAGTGGAAAAGAAAATCAAATATTAATTTTTACTAATTATCTAAGATTTACTTGATGAAATAAGGTGATGTAGCTAAATGTATACATAAAAAGCCCCCAAATCAAAACTGCTAGATTGTAATCTCAATTAGATATTTATCTTATGTCACTTTAGATTAATTATGTAGCATTTCTACATAACGTTTTCACTGGAATATAACGGTACTTGAGATTTATCTAGTTTCTTACAGCTTTTAAAAAATGTTATCTGCAAATAGTCATGGTTTTACTTCTTCCTTTCCAATTTGAATACCTTTTATTTCGTTTTCTTGCCTAATTACTCTGGCTAGGACTTCCAATACTATGTTGAAAAAAAGTGGCAAGAGTGGGTCTCCTTGCATTTTTCCCAATCTTAAAGGAAAAGCTTTCAGCTTTTCACCATTGAGAATGATGTTAGCTGTTGGCTTGTCGTATATGGCCTTTATTACATTGAGGTACATTCCCTCTATATTCATTTTGTTGTGAGTTTTTATCATAAATGGATGTTGAATTTTGTCAAATGCTTTTCCTGCATCTATTGAAATGATCACATGATTTTTATTCTTCATTTTGTTAACATGGTGTATCATGTTGATTGATTTGTGGATGTTGAACTATCCTAGCATCCCTGGAATAAATGCCTGGTGTATGATCCTTTTAATGTATTTTTGAATTAGATTTGCTAATATTTTGTTGAGGATTTTGCATCTATGTTCATCAGGGATATTGGCCTGTAATTTTCTTTTCTTGTGGCGTCCTCTGGTTTTGGCATCAGGGTAATGCTGGCCTCATAAAAAGAATTTGGAAGCATTCTCTCCTCTTCTTTTTGGAAGAGTTTGAGAAGGACTGGTGTTAATTCTCCTTTGTATGTTTGGGAGAATTCACCAGTGAAACTGTCTGGTCCTGGACTTTTTTTTTGTTGGTAGGTTTTTGATTATTAATTCAATCTTCTTACTAGTAATCAGTCTGTTCAGATTTTCTATTTCTTCATGATTCAGTCTTGGTAGGTTGTATGTTTCTAGGAATTTATTCATTTCTTCTAAGTTGTCGAATTTGTTGGCATACAATTGTTCATAGTAGTCTCTTTTGATCCTTTGTATTTCTGTGGTATCAGTTGTAACATCTCCTCTTTCATTTCTGATTTTATTCATTTGAGTCCTCTCTCTGTTTTTCTTGGTGAATCTAGCTGTAGGTTTGTCAGTTTTGTTTATCTTTTCCAATAACCAGCTCTTAGTTTCACTGATCTTTTCTCTTGTCTTTTTAGTTTCTATTTCACTTACTTCCATTCTGCTCTTTGTAATTTCCTTCCTTCTACTAACGCTGGGCTTCTTTTGTTCTTCTTTTTCTAGTTCCTTGAGGTGTGGAGTTAGGTTGTTTAAGATTTCCCTTGTTTTTTGATGTAAGCATATATTACTATGAACTTTTCTCTTAGAACTGCTTTTGCTGCATCCCATACTTTTCATATGTTGTATTTCCATTTTCATTTATTTCAAGGTATTTTTTGATTTCTCTTTTTACCCACTGGTTGTTCAGTAGCATATTGTTTATTCTCCACAAATCAGTGAATTTTCCAGTTTTCTTCTTGTAATTTATTTCTAGTTTCACACCACTGTGGTTGGACAAGATGCTTGATATGATATGATTTCAATCTTCCTAAATTTTTAAGACTTGTTTTGTGGCCCAACATATAATCTATCCTAGCGAATCTTCCATGTGCACTTGAGAAAAATGTGTATTTCGTTGCTTTTGGATAGAATGTTCTGTATATATCTGCATAACATTGTTAAAATGTCCATACTACCCACAGCAATCTACAGATGCAATGCAATCCCTATCAAAATTCCAAAGGCATTTTTCACAGAAATAGAAAAAAACAATCCTAAAATTTGTATGGGACCACAAAAGACCTCGAATAGCTACAGCAATCTTGAGAAAGAACAACAAAGCTGGAAGCATCATGCTCCCTGATTTCAAACTGTATTATAAAGCTACAGTAATCAAAACTGTATGTCATTGGCATAAAAACAGACACATAGCTCAATGGAACAGAACAGAGAGCCCAGAAATAAACCCACACACATATGGTCAATTAAATTACAACAAAGGAGCCAAGAATATACGATAGAGAAAGAACAGTCTCTTCAATAAATGGTGGGAAAACTGGACAGCCACATGCAAAAGAATGAAAATGGACCACAATCTTACCCCATACAAAAAAGTTAACTCAAAATAGATTAAAGACTTGAATGTAAGACCTGAAACCATAAAATTTCTATAAGAAAACATAGGTGGTAAGCTCCTTGACATCAGTTTTGGAAATAATTTTTTTGGATTTGACACCAAAAGAAAAAACAACAAAATCAAAAATAAACAAGAGGGACTACATCAAACTAAAAAGCTTCTGCACAGCAAAAGAAACCATCAACAAAACAAAAAGGCAACCTACTAAATGGAAGAAAATATCTGCAAATCATATATCTGATAAGGGGTTAATATCCAGAATATCTAAAGAACTCATACAACTCAATAGCAAACAAACAAACAATCTGATTTAAAAATGGGCAGAGGATCTGAATAGACATTTTTCCAAAGAAGACACACAGATGGCCAACAGGTATATGAAATGATGCTCAACATCACCAGCCACCAGGGAAATGCAAATCAAAACCACAAAGAGATACTACCTCACACCCATTAGGAGGATTATTATCACAAAAGGGGGCAAAAACAAGTTTTGTAAGGATGTGGAGAAATTGGAACCCTCATATTGCTGGTGGAAAGTAAAAAGGTATGGTCACTTTTGAAAACAATTTGGAAGTTTCTCAAAAGGTTCAAGATATAGGTTAAAGGTTAAAGAGTTATCATATAACCCAAGAATTCCACTTCTAAATAAATATCCAAGAAAATTGAAAACTTATATGTACACAAAAAATTGTACATGAATGTTCATAGCAGCATTATTCATAATAGCCAAAAAAGTGGAAATGATCCAAATGGCTATCAGTTGATGGATAAATAAGATGTACAGCTATACAATGGAATGTTATTTAGTAATGAAAAAGAATTAAGTAATGATAAATATTTCAACATGCTTGAAAAAATTACGCTAAGTGGAAGAAGCCAGTCACAAAAGACTACATATTATATGATTTTATTTATCTGGGATGTCCTAAATAGGCAAATCTATAGAGACAGAAAGCAAAGGAGAGGGGATGTTTGGGGGGAAATAGAGATTGACTGCTAACGAGTATGGGATTTCTTTCTGAGATGATGAAAAATTGATTGTTGTGTGGGGGACACACCTCTGGGATATACTAAAAGCCACTGAATTGTATACTTCAAATGAATGAACTGTATAGTATGTGAATTAAATCTTAATAAAGCTGTTTTTAAAAAGTCAAATGGAAATGTCAGAAATAAGAAAAATATAGGGTGAAAGATTAAAAAAAATCCACTTTAAACATAAACATATAGGGCCGGCCCCGTGGCTTAGCGGTTAAGTGCGCGCGCTCCGCTGCTGGCGGCCCGGGGTTCGGATCACAGGCGCGCACCGACGCACCGCTTCTCCGGCCATGCTGAGGCCGCGTCCCACATGCCGCAACTAGAAGGATGTGCAGCTATGACACACAACTATCTACTGGGGCTTTGGGGGAAAAAATAAATAAAAATAAAAATTAAAATTAAACATAAACATACAGATAGTCAAAAGTAGAAAAATAGAAAAAAAAAAAACATGCAAACACTAACCAAAAGAAAGCTGGAGTGGCTACATTATTATCAAAATAGACTTCAAAGCAAAGAAAACTGCCAGCTATAAAAAACATTACATGACAATAAAGGGATCGATTTTCTAAAAACACACAATAACCCTAAATGTTTTTGTAACTAACGACAGGATGTTAAAATAAATGAGGCATAACAATTGAACTAAAAAGAGAAATAGACAAATCCACACTTACAACTGGGGACTTCAACACTTCCCTCTCTGTAATCGATGGAACAAGTAGACAAAAAAATCAGTAAAGATATAGAACACCTGGTTGATAGAGGACTATCAACCAAATTGACATTTATAGAACACTCTGCCCAACCAGAGCAATATATTCTCTTCAAGTACATATGGAACATTCTCCAAAATAGATCATATTCTGAGCCATAAAACCAACCTCAACAAATTAAAAAAAAAAAAATTAAACAAAACACTTCTAAATAACCTATAGGTCAAAGAAGAGTCACAAGGGAAGTTAGAAAATATTTTGATTGAATAACAGTGAAAACACAGCATCAAAATTTGCAGAATACAGCTACAGAAGTCCTTGAGAAATTTATATAATTATATAATTAAATGTTTATATTTTCTATTGAATTCCCTTTGTACTGTGTTGAAAACCATTTGATTATATATGTATGTTTATATTAAACAAGATCTACTTCCACCTTAAGAAAGCAGAAAAAGACCATCTGCCTGACAGATCTCTACCATCACCTAAAGGAAACTGACCTTGCAATAAGCGACCAGCTTTCTTGGCTAGTAAAACTTCCTTATTCCTGCCCCCTTCTGCCTGTAAAAGTCTTTCATTTTGTTCAGCTCCTCGGAGCTCCTTCCCATCTGCTAGATTGGATGTTGCTCGATCCATGAATTATTGAATAAAGTCAATAAGATCTTTAAAATTTACTCAGTTGAATTTTGTTTTTTAACACTGTATATATACTACAAAGAGTGAATTTTACTGCATGTAAATTATACCCTCAGAAGACTTGACTGGGAAAAATAAGTTAGGATTAAAAAAAAAATTATATACAATCTAAGCGAAAATAATTATTAAATTTTTCTTGTTAAATTATTTGGTATGTTTGTGTTTTGCTTTCCAAAAAGCTTTACTTAATTACTCTGCAATAAAAAATAGATTAAAAAATCTATACCATTAGAACACACACAGATCAAGTTCTAATAATCCAAATGGATTAAGGAAAATTT